TGCCTTAGCCTCCCGAGTAGCTGGGATTACAGGTGTGCACCAGCTCGCCTGGCTAATTTTCATATTTAAAGTAGATATGGGTTTTACTGTGTTGGTCAAGCTGGTCTCGAACTCCTGACCTCAGGTGATCTGCCCGACCCGGTCTCCAGAAGTGCTGAGATTACCGGCGTGAGCCACCATGCCTGGCCGGCTCAGTGGTTTGAGTGTAGTCATACATTTACACAGCCAGCACCACCATCTAATTAGAAAACATTTCCGTCCGCTCAAAAAGAAACCTCACACCCTTCTGCAGTCATGCGCTGTGTCCCTCCCCCAGCTCTCGCCAGCCACTGATACTCGCTCTGTCCCTATGGATTTGCCTGTCCTGGACATTTCATATAAGTGGAATTACACACTATGTATCCTTTTGTGTCTGGCTTCTGCCACTCAGCATGGAATTTTCAAGGTTCACGGCATTGTAGCCTGTATCCGAGCTTTATTCCTTTTCAGGGCTGAGTAGTATTCCACTCTATGGATGGGCCACCTTTCTATAATCCCCGTTTAACTTGCTTTTTATTTTTTTAAAGATGGAGTCTTGCTCTGTTGCCCAGATTGGAGTGCAGTGGCACATTCTCAGCTCACTGCAACCTCCACCTCCTGGGTTTAAATGATTCTCCAGCCTCAGACTCCTGAGCAATTAGGATTACAGGCGCAAGCCACCATGCCTGGCTAATTTTTTGTGTTTTTGGTAGAGACGGGCTTTCACCATGTTGGCCAGGCTGATCTTGAGTTCCCAACCCCAAGTGACCTGCCCACCTCGGCCTCCCAAAGTGCTTGGGTTATAGGTGTCAGTCACTTCGCCCCGCCTGAGTTGTTTTTTGCTTTTTATTTGTATAATTTTTAAAACTTTAATTTTTTGAGATGGAGTCCTCCTCTGTAGCTGGAGTGCAGTGGCGTAATCTTGGTTCACTGCAGCCTCCACCTCCTGGGTTCAAGCGATTCTCCTGCCTCCGCCTCCTGAGTAGTTGGGATTACAGGTGCGGGCCAGCCTGCCTGGCTGAATTTTTGTATTTTTGGTAGAGATGGGGTTTTGCCATGTTGGCCAGGCTGGTCTCAAACTCCTGAGCTCAAGCGATTCTCCCACCTTGGCCTCCCAAAGTGTTGGGATTACAGGCGTGAGCCACTGCCCGTGACCTGACTTGTTTTTTATTTTAAGAGACAAAGTCTTACCCTGTCATCCAGGCTGGAGTGCAGTGGCGCAGTCTCAGCTCACTTCTGCACCTCCCACTAAGCAACACGAGGAGGAGTGGCTTTCAGACGTCAAGCACTCCTCAATTAGCAGGCCCAGGCCTCAATTTCTGACTGGTGTCCATCAATCTTTCTAGACGGGCAAGGTGTGGAGCTTCCACCTCCAGGGTTCAAGAGAATCTCGTGCCTACCGCTCTTGAGTAGATGGGACTACAGGCATGCACCACCACACCTGGCCAACTTTTATACTTTTTGTAGAGACGGGCTTTCGCCAGGTTGGCCAGGCTGGTCTCAAACTCCTGAGCTCAAGTGATCCTCCTGCCTCAGCCTCCCAAAGTGCTGGGATTATAGTTGTTCAGCCACCGCCCGGCCTCCCATCTCAATTTGTTAGTGCAGCAGACCAACCCGTAAGGGAATCTGAAAGCGTCGGTCATTTCTGTGCTCCACACCTTGCCCGTCTAGAAAGATTGACGGACACCAGTCAGAAATGGAGGCCCGGGCCTGCTAATTGAGGAGTGCTTGACGTCTGAAAGCCACTCCTCCTCGTGTAGCTTAGTGGGAGGTGCAGAAGCAGCTTTCCCTGCCCCAGTCCTCTGAGATTTGCACCTGACTGCAAAGAGCGGGAGATACAACAGGGCGACAGGTCAGTGTTCCCTAAGCGAATCTGTCGGTTGAAATATTCCAAAGCGCGCTTCCTTCCTTTTCGAAGTGTGAGGGTTTCTACTTACCCGACAGCAATTATAGTGTGTGTTTACATTTTAAAGTGAAAAGTTTCCAAAACTTGAAAAGAATCAGATGGTGAACCCTCAGAGATACCCACCTTCTGGATTCTCGGATTAAGTCTTTCTCATACTAGAGGCCATTAAAACTTTAAGCAAAATGGAGTTGAGAACCCGTTTAGGTTCCTCAGTTAAAAACATTTCTGTTGTCTGTGAAACCGAAATACCCTCACTGTCTCGCAGAATATACCTCGAAGTAGAACAAAGAGCCATGTGTATGTGCGGTGGGGACCCCGTCCTTTCATGATTGCATTTTTTTTTTTTTTTTTGAGACGGAGTCTTGCACTGTCGCCAGGCTGGAGTGCAGTGGCACAATCTCAGCACATTGCAACCTCTGTCTCCCGGGTTCAAGCAATTTCCCTGCCTCAGCCTCTTGAGTAGCTGGGACTACAGGTGTGTGCCACCATGCCCAGCTAATTTTTTGTATTTTAGTAGAGACAGGGTTTCGCCATGACCAGGATGGTCTCGATCTCCTGAACTCGTGATTCACCCACCTCGGCCTCCCAAAGTGCTAGGATTACAGGCACTAATCGGGAGATTACGGGAGCCACCTTGCCTCCGCCCCCCCCCCACCCCTCGCTTTGTTTTTAAAAACAGGATTTCAAAAAAAAAAAAAGTGTCAAGGTGCGATCATGACTCAGTGCAGCCTCGACCTTCCAGGTTCAACTGATCCTCCTCAGCCCCCCAGGTAGCTGGGACCACAGGCATGTGCCCCCACAGTCAACTCATTTTTTAATTTTTAGTAGAAGTCTCACTATGTTGCCCAGGCTGGCCTGAAACTGCTGGGATCAAGTGATCCTTCCAGCTTGGCCACCGATGGGGTGGGATTACAGGTGTGAGCCACAGCACCCAAATCTTTTTTTTAAATTTAAATTTTTACTTTTTATTTTGAGACAGGGTCTGATTGTCACCCAGGCTGGAGTGCAGTGGTGCAACCACGGCTCACTGCAGCCTCCACCTCCCTGGGCTCAGCTGATCCGTTGCCACAGCCTCCTGAATAGCTGGGATTACAGCTGCGTGTCACCATGCCCAGGTAATTTTTGTAGTTTTTTTTTTTTTTGCCTAGGCTGGTTGCTAACTCCTGAGCCCAAGCGATCTGCCTGCTTCAGCCTCCCAAAGTGCTGGGATTCCAGGCGTGACCTAAAATTAAATCTTAACTCCATGTAGAATATATGAATATGGTCCCATGAGAACTGAAAACACCCACAGCGGCTTCAGTTCTCCTTTGATATTTACCAACATGCAACTTTCCTTCTTTCCCCAAGAAATTAGTGAGTTTCTTTGGTTTAGGAGTACCTTTTTGTGGGTGTTGACAAGCATCCATGCTCTTAAAAACCTCATGGTACCAGTTTCTCTGTGTGTTTCCATATATACGTTATTGAGCACAGGATTCTGGACCACTGTCCCTTGCTCAGCAAGTGGGAGGTATTTCATGACTGCATACAGATCAGCCTACTTTTCTTTTCTTTTCTTTTTTTTTTGAGACAGAATCTTGCTCTGTCCCCCAAGCTGAAGTGGAGTGGCGTGATCTTGGCTCATGGCAACCTCCGCCTCCCGGGTTCAACCAATTCTCCTGCCTCAGCCTCCCAAGTAGTTGAGATTACAGGCATGTGGCACCACGCCTGGCTAATTTTGTATTTTTTAGTAGAGACAGGGTTTTGCCATGTTAGCCAGGCTGGTACTGAACTGACTTCAGGTGATCCGCCCAACTCTGCCTTCCAAAGGGCGGGCATTAAAGGCGTCAGCCGCCTGGCCCAGCCCCTTTTCAATTGCTACATAGTACTGATGGTTATTAAGTAACTTCTCTAATCCCCCACTGATAGATACCTAGTTTAAAACATTGGAAACAGTTGCAGACAGCCCTGGGCATCTTGAATTGTGTGTAAGCTCCAGACCTTTTCTCTGGGTTTATCACCTCCAAGAACTGCTGGCTGGGTTATAGGGTGTATGCACTTACAATGTTATTAGAAAATGTCAAATTGCCCAATTTACACTCCTGCCAGTCCAAATGGGGGCGTGCCCACACCCCTGCGTGGTCCAGTACACAATGAATGCTCATTTTGTGAAGTCACAGTGTCAAACCTTTCTACCTGCCCCCCCCCACAATTGTTGCAACATTCTCAAGAGGCGGGTAGATTGAGTATTGCTAACATCATCATATCCATTGCGGTTGGAAACTGAGGCTCAGCGAGGTTGCTTTGCTAGAGTGAAACATGGGGCCCGGCTGAGCTTTGAACCCAGTTCAGGAAGTACTGAAGTTCGTTCTCTCCCATACATTTTAGAGAACTCTAGGAGAGAAACCCTAACTTTATTCGGAAGGTCTTGCCCCTTGGCAAAGGTGTGTTGATTGTGATGGATTGCCGGTGGGGCGGGGTGGAAGCGCTTTCTGTTTTACCCTATATTTATCCTGTTCTCGGTTCTCCTCCTCTGCAAAACGGATTGCTACGTCTCCTTGCTTGGTACTTTGGAAATTGGGGAACGCTACGCCCACATTCCGGCCTCGGGTCTCGAACCTCCAGCCCCCACGTCCCCGGCCGGTGCTGAAGCTGTGCTGGGTCTCACGTACTCAGCAGCCGCCTGATAACCGGGGCGGGGCCCGGAGCTGGGGGCAGTGATTGGCACCGGTCCCAGCCTGTCCGCGCCTTGGGCTGACCCCGCAAGCCAATACTTGCGGTCGTTGGGCGGGCCCCGAGGGTCCCTTGTCAATCCGAGGCCCAGCCGCCGTCGGGTTGGTCGCGAGCGATTTGGCTGGCGTGCGCCGCCCCCAATGAGAACGGAGCCGGTCAGCGGGCACGTGGGATGGCGCCGGCGTGTCCAAGCCGGTCTGCCAATGAAGAGGCGAGGCCGGCGTTTGCTCCCGCCCAATCGCGGCGCGCGGTGGGCGGGCCGTACGGTGTTGATGGGCCCGGCTGAGGGGAGGGGCGGAGCTGTCAGCTCTGGCCAATGGGCGCGCGGGCGTGGGTCCGGCAGCCAATGGCAGCCGGGGCGGAGCTGGCGCGCGGCCTTATAAGCCCCCCCTCGGGGCGCTCGCGGAGGGCTCGGCCGCCAGCTACCGAGCGGGGCCCGGCCCGAGCGGGGCCTGGGGGTGCGACGCCGAGGGCGGGGGAGCGAGCGTCGCTGCTCCCGGACCGGGCCGCGCGCGCCGCCTCAGGTGAGCCCGCGGGGAGGCCGCCCGGCCGCGGTCCGAGCGCGGACCCCCGCCGCCATGGCCGCCCCCGCGTCGCGGCGCGGGGCTGCGGGCGCGCCCGGGACTCGAGGCCCAGGCCTCGGGCGCGGCCTGTTCGGGCCGGGCCTCGCGCTTTGTCCGGGCCGGCGGGGCGATTGGGGGCGTTAACCGCCCGGGCCGGGGGCGCCCGCGGGCTTTCGGGCGGGGGCGGCGGGGCCGGACAATGGCGGGGCGCGCCCAGGGGCGGGAGCGGGGGGCCCCTTCCCGGGCCGGGGGCGCGCGGGGGGCTGGGCCCAGACGGCCCCGCCGCCCCGCACAAAAGATGACAGCGTGGGTGGCCCCGGCCGGGCCCTTTTATCACCCAGAACAACCCTCAGCCTATTATTATTATTTTTTAAAGAAAGGAAGAAAAAGAAAAAAAAACACCCCAGTCCCTGGGTAACCCTCGCCTGCGTTTCTGGCCCTTGGGGCACCAGAGGGGCTAAGTGGGAGCCCCCCAGCCGGACGCCCAGGGGTGTCCCCTAAATGCCTATCATTCCTCCTGCACAGCCCCCACCCCCGACCAACCTGCTGTGGATTGGTGGCTTCCAAACTTGCCCCCCTCAACGTCCCCGAAACCCCCCACCCCCCCATAAGCATATGCAATCTGGATTTTAGAAAAAGGAAATCATCTTGCTATGCGATGGCAGCCTCCCCGAGTCTCCCCGTCCCTCCCCCTTCCAGCCTGATCGCCATCTCGAACGGAGCCCCCTGCTCTATAGAAATGAATTGAGGAGTTGCTTCCACGGAGACCCCTTTCCTGCGTCCCCCGCGGATATCCCCTTGGGAGCTGGGGACGGGCTCGCTCTGAAATCTGCTGGACCTGGGGTTTGCCAGGGCCCGGGGTCTGCGCTCAGCGGTGGCCATGACATCAGGCAGGACGGGGTCTCTGTCCACCTAGGGACGGTGGAAGGTTTTAAGGGGCCTGTTCTCCCCCACCCCGGGGCCAGTGGAGGCACGGACTGCTTTTGGGTGCACCCTGTGTGTTTGCTTGGGGGAGGATGCTTTTGTTTTAGTAATCCGCCAGCACCTTGTGGGGAAGTGTTTCCCGAGTTGTGAAACTAGTGAGAAGGTGCTTCAGCTCCGTGGAGCCCAGCGATCCCGTCATATGTGAAGAGCGTCTTTTTCCATGTGTTTCTGGCGGGGAGCGGGGGGCATGTATTACAGCGAGTTGATTTGGGTCCCACCTGGGGCCCGCACTGTCTTGGGGTCTCTGGATACTGGGCTGAATTTAAGGGATCGGTTCCCTGCCCTACCCCTCTGCCTCAATGGCCATTTATCGGAATGCCCCCTGGCTGGAGAATGCTCCTAAAAACAGCCCCAGTCCGAAAGCAGGCTCGTTAGATGACTCCTATCGGCTTTTATCACAGCCGAGCAAGAGCTAATGACTCCCCTAATTCCCCAATAATAGCTTCCTTATGAGCCACCGGGAGAGTTTGTCAACACACTGGGTCAGCCTTCTCCTGCAGCCCCTGCTGAAGCAGTGGGCAGCCTCTGTCCTCTTTGCAGTTTATTTTTTGAAACCCTGAAGGTCGGAGCGTGAAGCCGTGGTAGAGTCAACTTCTGATTATCTGAGCTGAGGATTTCTGGGACTTGCCAGCCGCATCTCGGTCTCCGTGTGTCTGATTGGACACCTGGCAGGTCTGGGCGCTCCCCCTCCTTGAGCCGGGGACACCAGGACGGGTCAGACTGCCCTGGCCTGGAGGAGATCGCCGCTGGGGAGGCAAAGGGGGCTACAGAGGTTCTGCTGCGCAGATGGATGTTGGTGTACAGGCTGTCCTGTGTCAGGAGCTGCGGGTGCCTGCGTGTGCACGTGTGTGTGGTTGCTGAGACTGAAATATGCATGTCTCGGTAACAATCCATTTGCTCGTTTTCTAACCCTTTCCTCTTTGGGGAGGGGCTGCTAAGGTGGCGTTAGCTACTGGCGCTTAAGGTATAGCTGATCAGCCACTGCACAGCTCCCGGCCTGGCCTTTGTCGTACTTTTCTGTCTGGTGGAAGAGACCCTTCCTCAGCCTCCTGCCCTATCTTCAGTCCCTGTCCTGTCCTGCGGGAGCCCTCCGGGGTGGTCAGGGGTCATCCTGTGTCCTTCTCTCCCACCTGACCACTCTGCCTGTACTTTAATTCCTAATTTCTGTGTCTCCTCTGCTGATTTCCTGCCCCCGTTTGTCCTGTGCCCCACCCACTCCCTCGATGAGCTGGTGGGGGAGCCCATCTGTCTGGGTTCCATCTGACCCCTGTGGGGATGGTCGCTGGGGTCATGTGCTCACCTGGCCTAGGGCTGTTGCCTTTCAAGTGCTGAGTGCCTTGCAGGGACAGGTTGGGAGGAGTCCCCGGCTCTTGTGGGTTGAGAGTGTAGTGGGGGAGAGGGCGAGCTGCCTGCCCAGGGTCTGGTCACAGATGGAATGGTGGTAGGCAGTCTGCTGCCCTCAGGCCCAGCTCAGGGAGCAGGCAGGACGAGGCATGACTGATGGGGGCTGAGATGCCTGAGGTGTGGTCCAGGGGCATTTGTAGGTGGCTTTCTTCCCTGGATCAGGGAGCAGAGTTGGGGTGTCAGAGCTGGGTGACCTTGGGCCAGTCACTTGCTTGGGAACAAAGGAGGTCAGGGCGCACTAAATCTTTCCAAGCCCACTGCTCAGGGGGGAATCCAAGAGCTGATGAATGAGGTGGGGGCTGGTGGGGCAAATCTGCAACCCGCGCTGCTCACCGCCGTGACAGATCCTCCGTCCTCACCGACAGCCTTGGCCTGGGCTCCTGGCTCAGCTCCAGGGACCTGCCTTGAGGCAGCTCAGGCCTTAGCCTTCCTCCTTCCTGCCCCAGGGGCCTCCGCTCCTGATTTAGATGCTGGACAGGGGAGCAGGGGCCCAGCCCAGGCTCCGTTCTCATCCGGTGGTCTTGGACATCTCTATGTCTCTGCCCTCCATCCCACGCCCCACGCAGGCTTCAGAGGTGGAGAGACCTAGATTCAGACCCCTCCTCCGAGGCGGTCACTTTCCCTTTCTGGGACTTGCTTTCTTCATCTGTAAAATGGGGGTCATGGGAAAACCTCCCTTCTGGGTGGCTGTGAGGGTCAAAGCGGGTAGAAAGCACTGAAGCTTCCTGGGCAGGAGCTCTGAGCTCTGAGCGGTTCATTACACCGCAGGGCCCTGCTGTCCTGTCAGGTCTCCCCACCTCTGCCCTTTCCACGTTCTGGGCTGGGACATTCCATGGTGGGGCTGTCCTGGATGCTGTAGGGTGGGCGTGAGCGACATCCCTGGTCTCCACCCAGCAGAGGCTAGTAGCACCCTGTCCCCTAAGCTGTAGCAACCAAAAATGCCCCTTGGGAAGCATTGTTGCCCCCCAGTGAGAACCTCGGTCTTGGCCGTGAGCCCTGCAGCAGCTCATATTGTGCTGTGACCTTGATGTGCCTCAGTTCCCTTTGCCTCCTCCCGCCTCACCCTTTAACAATGAGTGGCTCCTATTTGCAGTTTGTCCTGGCCACACTCCTCGTCTGTCTGTTCAGATTCTCCGTGACTGTCCCTCTGCCCTTTCAGGGTAGCAGCTTCCACCTGAGAGGAGAGGAGCCCTCCGCAGAACCCCCCAGCTCCCCTGCACCGAGGGGCAGCCCAGCACCCATGGGGTCTTCCTGGCTGCTCTCTAGCCCCTGGGCTCTGACAGGTCCCTGCCCAGGGTTGCTTGGCTGCTCCCAGAGGTGGCGCTTCCACACATCCTGTCACCAGAGCCCTGACCTGTCAGTTTGCTGGACAGGTTTCTTGCAGTTGGTTGTGGGCTGACTCACCTCTTTGATCTTGGCCTCTTCCTGACCAGCAATGTCCCCAAAGCCGTGGGACGTTAATGTGCTGGTCGCACATGCTTTTTTCTGAGACCGAGTCTCGCTTTGTTCCCCAGGTTGGAGTACACGGCCAGATCTCGACTCACTGCAACCTCTGCGTCCTGAGTTCAGGCGATTCTCCAGCCTCAACCTCCCGAGAGCTGGGATTACAGGCGCCCACCACCACGTTCAGCTAATTTTTCTATTTTTAGTAGGGACGGGTTTCACCATTTGGCCAGGCTGGTCTTGAAGTCCTGACCTCAAGTGATCTGTCCACCTCGGCCTCCCAAAGTGCTGGGATTACAGGGCTGAGCCGCCGCACCCGGCCTCGCTGCACATGCCTTTACTAATACACATTCAAATGAGCTTAACCATTATATTAAAAAAAAACTTGTACCTTCTCAAATGCTGAGGCAGGAGTGGATTGATGAATTGATGTTTTTGGTTTTTAGACAAATTGATTTTCCAGCTCACTCGCTGTGTGACTTGGCCTGTTCTGGGATGCTGGGCTCGGTGAGGTCCCCGTCTGTCCATTCCCTCCTGAGGAGCCTGGAAAACGGCCTTTCCTGGGGGAGCGGGGAACGTGGCAAGTTTCTACCTCCTGCCTGGTTTTGCTGTGAACCTAAAACTGCTCCCTAAAATAAATTATATATAAAAAAAATAACTGGCTGGGTGTGGTGGCTGACGCCTGTAATCCCAGCACTTTGCGAGGCTGAGGCAGGCAGATCACCTGAGTCAGGAGTTTGAGTCCAGCCTGGCCAATATGGTGAAACCTCGTCTCTACCAAAAATAAAAAAAATTAGCTGGGCACGGCAGTGCGCACCTTTAGTCCCAGCTGCTTGGGAGGCTGAGACAGGAGAATTGTGCTGAGATCGCGCCACTGCACTTCAGCCTGGGTGACAGGGCAAGGCTCCATCTCAAAATATATATATATAATAATTAATAAAATAAAAATGTAAAAAAACTGGCCAGGTGCGGTGGTTCATACCTCTAATTTCAGCACTTTGTGAGGCTGAGGTGGGCGGATCACTTGAGGTCAGAAGTTTGAGACCAGCCTGGCCAACATGGTGAAATCCTCTCTCTACAAAAATTGGCTGGGTGTGGTGGCACGGGAGGCTGAGGCAGGAGGATTGCTT